TTTTGAGATGTCCGCTCTGGCTGGCAGATCACAGCTGCACCGAGGCTTTTTGTTCGCTCGTGTGTCTTGGGTATTTCTCCTGTTTGCTCTCGGTGAATCCTGAAGCAGTTTGATTTGTTGATAATCCTCTCTGAGTGTTTTTTTTTTTGTTTTGTTTTGTTTTGTTTTTCAAGCCGGCGAGCTTTTGAACAAATAACTCCAACAACACATCTCTGCCAAGGTGGGAATAAAATACTCGTAATCTGGCTTTTCTGCAAGTCGTCCAAAACGCTTTAAATGCAACAATAGTTTCATGTTTGGCACGAGGAGCAACACGAGCTTGTCTTTATCTGCTGCTATTTATTTACACTCTTATATCTGGGACAGGCAGGCAAAACGGCACCTTGACAGCATGTCTTTTAAAAAAGGTATTTTTGTGGCATTGAAAAAAAAAATGTTATGTAATTTTAATCCAATAGCTGGTTTTTAAAATTCCCTTTCAGTCTGTTTTGGGAAATGTTGTGCTTGTACTTTTTTGTACATGTTTTCTGTGATTTTTATTTATAAGTTATTGCTTGTGACTGTGTATCATTTGTTGTGACTGTTTTGTCACCTATTTATATGTTTGATACATTTTGTACTGTAAATATATATGAGCATCATTTGTCTTTCTGATTGTATAGTCTTTCATGTTTGTCATGCGTCTTAGTGGCTCTGGCCTTAAYGGGACTATGAGGTCATTTTTGCACTGCTGTTCTGTCAAATAGCTAATAATTAGTACCTTATCAGATGTGACATCAGCCAAAGAGAATCCTCATTCAAGGCTTAATGTTTAGTACAGGGGTCTGCAACCTTCACAATCAAAAGAGCCGTTTCTGCTATTTGGCTCACTAATAAAATGTGTCCAGAGCCACAAAACAAGCTACAACTGAGATTATCAACTGGTGGTCCATGGGCCTTTTCGAGACCGTTTCGAGAACCTTTATGGCCAGTGGAGGTGTCATTATAAAACTAAAAAATATGTTGTGAATTTTATTATTTATTATTATTTTTACACATCAAGTCAAATGGTACTGAGCCCGAGAGGGGACATGGGAGATTTTTTTTCTTTTGCGTTCCCACGCAAAAGTAGTTTATCACTGTTGTGCCTGCCGGTTTATTAACAAATTCACCGGCTCACCATTAGCGAGTTAGCCTACTGCTTTAATTTAGCTTCAGAATGAATATATCACACAGCCACMCATGGAGGTATGTCATGTGCCGATATTTTAATGCAGTGCAGCCACGCAACATCAATGTCAAATTCACGAACTTGTGGCGACACATCCTGTTTTGGTAACKGGATATTTCAAAATAAAAGTCTGATTTAATTTATTTCATGTACAAAACAATCTTTTGCGTGGGAACGCAAAGCAACGTTGCGAGGGAATGCAAAAAGAAAAATAAAACCCGTGTCCCCTCGCGGGCTCCGTAAAATGGTAAGACCAGATTCTTGTAAACAAGAAAAATACTGTATGTAGTTTATACCAAATTTAAAACAAAAGTAGTTTCATTGAACTATTTGGGTGTATAAATAGATATTTTTTATTCTTATCATGTAGTTTTCAAATTCTTTAAAGGTAATCTTGATGGGTTTGAGAGAAAGATCATAGAAAGAAGTTGGATTATTTACGTAAACAGCAGGCTAGCATGAGCTAACATGTTTTACTTTTTGTATTAGTAGCATGAATATAAAAAAACAAAACAAAGCAAATATTTTGTTAGTTTTGGTCACATTTTCTAAGAGCCACTGTAGAGTGACCACGTGACCGCAGAGCTACAGGCTGCAGACCCTTGGCCTAGCAAATAAATATAATGCAAATGTTTTTTTTAATTGTCATCAACTTGGAAAAGCTCTACATTAGATATCTGTAAGTGTATTCCCAGATCTTAGCAGAATGTTGCAGATTTAACTACTGATGACGAACTGAAATAGCATCACTTCAAAAATGACCAAACTGTCCTTTAAAGGACAACTTGAAGACATATTGTCTCATACAAAATAAATATGTATCTATGAACGTGCAGCTGGAGGATTTAATCCCCAGATATCTGGCAATCAATCAGTTCGAATTAAACAAAAGATGTAAATGATCGTTTTGACAAATAAATAAATAAAATCGATTGCATTCTTGTGCAATCAGCAGCCGAGAGGAGCTGAAGTGGAGGAATCAGCTCTGTTCTGTGCTCTTTATCAGAAGAAATGGGCACATCACAGCTCATTCCCTGCTTCGGTTTAGAATACTAATGAGAACACCTGCATTATTCTCGCAACAAAGAGATACAGCAATAAGGTTATGTTCTGAAAGGTAAGGATATATTCCCATCCTGCTGAGAATGCAAATCATTTCTTCTGCGTTTTTGTCTTGTTTGTCAAAAAGCTGTGTTTTCTCTGCTGCCAATTGTCACAGGAAGTGCTGCGTTGAATGTAATAAATCAGATAAACTCTATTGAGCAAAGAATGTATTTAACTAGGTTTGAACTCGAGACCTTTTGTCTCCATTTAAGTAACCCAGACAAATTTTATTTTATTTTATTTTTTTATCCTGTCCAGAAATCGCCCAGCTGGTCTGGTAGGTTTGAACGAAATCAACTCCATCTCGCCAACCCCTACTTCACATTTTTTGTTAAATTGGGATGTACCACAATGACATTTGTACAGCCATTTGTGTTCTACAATAAAACTAATTGTGAACTCATCTCTGCAGTCTTTATTTGAAAAACAAAGTGTAACTGCTCAAATGTTTTGAACCATTTTGAACCATTATTTCCTCTCAGTTTTGGGCATATTATGGGAGTTA